ATGTACAAATGTGCTTTACACAATTGATGTATGTATGGATTGTGATAAGAGTTGTATGAGCCCCTAATAAAATGATTAGAAAAAAAAAAAAGAGTTCACTGTGATCGCCATCATGCTGGGTATAAAGTGAGCCATCTCTGAAGCAGGAAGTGGGGATCTCACTATAAGGAAGAGAGGTGATCCAGGAGGTGAGTATATCCTTTAGGACCCGAGGTTCATGTGCATTGAACTCCTTGATCCAGGGCACAGCTTTGATACCAGAAAAGCAGAGCAGCAACAGCAGCACCAGGACAGGAGACAGAGCAGTAGACTCCCCAGCTCAGAGCAAGTGGAGTGCTTTGGGACAAGGGCTGGCTTGTGGAGTAGGGTGGCTCTGTGCACTTACTTGGGGAGCTGGGTTTGCTGACCCACAGAGCTGGAGCTGAGGGCCTCAGGCTGAGGCATATAGGGGAATAACATGCCCTCTGGCACTTGGCGGCAGCCCTGAGAGGATTTTGTAATACTGCCTGAGCAAGGAAGAGGGCAGGCCAAGTGGATGAGGGCCCAAGAGGGGCCTGCCTGTGAGCATGGGGAGAACTGTCCTCCCTTTACATTTTTTTTTTTTGAGTGAAAGAAACTAAGTTTCTTCTTTCTTTTTTTTATAAATCATTTTATTGGGGGCTCAGATAACTCATCACAATCCATTGTGTCAAGCATATTTGTACATTTGTTGCCATTATCTCTCAAACATTTGCTTTCTACTTGAGCCCTTGGTACCAGCTCATTTTCCCCTCCCTCCCCGCCCCCATCCCTCATGAACCCCTGATAATTTATAAATTATTATTATTTTGTCATGTCTTACACTGTCCAACATCCCCCTTCACCCATTTTTCTGTTGTCTGTCCCCTAGGGAGATCCTGAACATTTCTCACCTGTATTGTCATCTGTGAACTTCCCTAATAAACCCTGTAATTGTGGGCACTGGTTATGAGTTCTGTGTGGTCATTGCAATGAGTTATCAAACCCAGCAGAAAAGTAGAATGTGAGGCAAGTGCCGTGGAGGAATGGGTGGTATTGGAATAGGATTAAGAAGGATGGAGGCTGGAAGCATGTCTGACCTTCTGCCTTGGGGCAATCAACCTTGGGAACCAGAGGAACACAGATGTGACCTCAATGCTATTTTTGAGCTAAACAATTTCAACATTATATGAAGGAGTTTTCAAAGGTTAATGTAAAAATTGGAATGAAAAGATAAGAGTTTTCCACGAGCTTTTTGAAACCCCCTCATATGTGTGCTAGAAAAAAAAATCAAGTATTATATGCTTATAGCTTTCAGAATAGGTTTCATGGCTCCAGAGAGGGTTCTTTGAAATTCAATAACAAATGTAATTGAATAAGTAGCAGTAAGTATAATACTTGGAAGAAAGTGCCTTCAAACTTAGGTCAAGAGAGAAGATCATGACACACTATTTGACAGCTTCTCCTGGAAGGGATTCCTCATTCGGGTGAATTCAAAGATGAACAACAGACAAACAAATGCCTCTACACAAGAATGCCTAGTGGACCAATTCAAAGATGGAATAAACGTTTGTTTTTTCCCCCCTGCCCACTCAATGTTGGCCTTCAAGACAGTGCTACCCAGAGAGCTGCAGTTTACTTCCTACTAGGTAGATGTTTTTTATAAATGTAGAGTAATTTTTTCCAACAGTCTTAAGTCTGGAATAATTCTTATTAATTTATACAGCTGCATACTCAAGATACATAAAGGATTACGATGAGTAATACTAATTGTGATAAGTCAGTTTACCATTTGCCTTAGTATTAAAAAAAGCTTTATGTAATTTGTTCAGTCACATACATGAGATTTAAATATGAGCTTCTGGGTATATTGCTATTCTGAGGAAATCCCTCTTATCTTATAAAATGTGATACTAAATTATTGAACAGTAAATATTCTCAATTCCACACATATCTTGAGGACTTTTTAAAAGTAAACAGAAAGCAAACCTTAAGTAATAAACTATATGATAACAAGTTTCGGCTATAACTGCTGAGCTTCTTGGCTGGTTTGTTTGAAAGAAGGAAGGTTTATGAGGTGTAATCGGCTGCAGCCTGTCTTCGTGATGCTTCTGATAATGTGACCGTGCTGGAGGGACACATTCCACGGGGTAGGAAGGAGTACCCTCCATAGAAATCTAGTTCTGTAACGGCTGTTTCTATTTTTCTAAAAATGACTTTCCTACATGATTTTCAAACTTCCAGGTTCTTCTTCGAAAGGCCAATAAAATAGAAAGAAAAAAATAAGAAGCTGCTGGAAATGTATAATCAATTGGAAAACATGAAAGGATTTTTTGTTAAGAGAAAGGGAAAAGGGGAGTTCTTGTTTATGTGTCTACTACCCCTGTGCAGGGAGGCTTACCCACTGTCCTCCCTCCTCAAAGGCTGTCAGGGAGGTGTAACTATTAACATTGAGCAGAGGAGGAGACAGGTTCAGAGAAGTTCAATGGGTCACATAGCAAACAAGGAGCACAACTCAAGATCTTCCCTCTGTACACACATGCTGCCTGGGCCCACTGTTTGCTGGGCTGCCCTCTGAGAACTCTTGGAAGTCACCTCAAGCTGCTTGGCCTTGTTTTAACCTCAAAATCCAGTTGCTTCTTCCCTCCCTCTTCCACTCAATATTCTCTATTTCTCACACCCACATGATGCCTTTGTGTGTTTTTCTTTACCCTTTATTAGGTACATATTTCATCATTCCCTTTTTTTTCATGCTAGTTTGCTATTTCCGCCCCCCTCTCATCAAGCATAATTTATGAAATAACTTTGTAATAAATAAGACCGAAATTGTACAGAATTCAAAGGCCAATTATCTTGATTTTTTGCTAGCATATTTAATTCTAAAATAGATGTGGTGAAAAAAAACCCTAACTTGTCAAGTCTGGCTACCTGGACAGGGAGTGAGGAAGCCTGGTTTAAAACTCCCTTCTTGCGGTGTCTGATCATCTCCGAGTGCCGAGGGCCCTTGGAGCATTGCATTACTGACCAGTGTGCAGTCTTACCCCTTCTCTCCTAGGGCCACCGAGTGAGCATGAGTCATACATGTGAAAGCATGCTAGCCTCTCACTAGGCCTGGGAAATTCAATGGCCATTATGTTATCATTAATGCAGGAAAAGCATCAGTGTAATTTTCTGACAGGTTTGAATGTTACTTCTCAGGCTTGCAAGTAATTCACAGCACTCTTTGTTTAACTTTCTCTTGGGCTTGAAGGCACTGTGGAGTGAATGCCTTAAGGCTATTTCTGGTACAGACGAGAGTGTGGATCCATTTTCAAGTGGATTAATAATAGTGACATTAACACAAGCATTCAGAGAACTGGGCATCATGTAGTAGTGAAGAGTTCAAGCTCTGGAAGGAGAGAAGTGGCATTCTACTTACTCTTCATTGGCTACCTGCTGTGTGACCTTGGCCAAGAAATTCACCCTTTCAGGGACTCAGTTTCACCTTTAACAATAGGTTTATGGATTGTGTCATTTTGGTTTCCTGAACAAAAGTTATAGAAATCGTTTACATTTGCCTCCTACCATTTATGCTGACTTCTATTTCATGACACACAGATATTCAAATTCACTTTCTTCTAAGCCTTCTAATCTCAAACTTTTGTGACACACCCATATCTACAGATAGAGATAGCATCAGGTTGATGAGAATGTAAATTGAGTATTAATCTCCATATATCAGTTTCATTCATGAAATCATTACTTCAGTAACAAATATAAGCACAGTGAAAAAGTTCTTAGAAAGTAAACATCAAATGTAAAGACACACAATGCAGCAGATTGTCATACCAAGCGACCTTCGTGATATGTCAAACCCAGTATCTCAAATGTATAATGCTAGATATGATACATTTTATAGTACTAGTCTTATTTATAACAGTGTACAGTTATGTTGTTTTAAAATAAAATACGTTGGGTTTTTTTTTAATATGCAGTTTCGTTCATGTGTCAGTTTGACGTGTGCCTGCAGGGATAGGTGTACAAGAAATCCTGTAAACCTAGTGTTAAAGTCAAGGATCACAACATCTTTCTCTCAAGATGGTTGTGCTGCAACACTGCGGATGCCCCTCTTGACTAGCCACCTACTAGTGCACCTGGCAATACAGTTGGTCCTGCAAACTGTCAGCTATTATTTTACTCACAGGAAGTCCACTAAACTTTTAAAGATGCATCTTGAGTGACAATGCATGCAGTTTTAATGACTAGCACAGCGATTTCCTTTGGCAAGTTACACAAAATTGTAGCAACTTGAAGCAATCTATTTACTTGATAAAAATATGCTACACCTTACAACATAAGTCATTAAGATTTTAAAAAAAACATTGTGATAGCACAACTCATTTTAAAGGTGATTTAACCATTGTGTGTGTGTGTATGTGTGTGCTCTAAGACAGATATGGTGGTGACTATTCAATGCCCCTTGAATGATTGAACTACTGAATTGTATATGTGAATTATGTGCTAATAAAACTGTTAAAATATTTTTAAAAAGCGTTTTTTAATCAATGGATTCAATTTAATTTAATTTACAAAAACAATATATTCATGCATTTTCAGAAATGCCCTTCTAGGCGAAGGCAGGGTACAAAGGCATCTATTAGTGTGTTGAGGATTTCACTACAGTTAATCAAGGCCATGTTAATACATACCAGTCCATCTGTTAGCTGCTTCTTTGGCTACTATATTTGCTTGACCTGAGGAATTTGGAAAAACAATAAAATAAATATATATGCACACACATATAAATATAGTATCTAATTTATTTGTACTTTCTTATATGAACCAAAGTTATGCAAATAAAATGTACAGAATAAGAGCTTATAAGTAGTTACAAAAACAGAATCTTATAAACCTGCCCAGATACCCAAGGAAATTTTTAAGTTTTTTTTTTTTAAAGATGATCTATTTTATTAGAGTAGACTGATCACACATGGTCCAAGAAAACTCAAATAGCAAACCAAACATAATCAGATGTTAAAGACTGGTCTTCAAACATCATAGCCAATGATGCCGCGTTTGCCTATGATCTCGCCAATGTAAAACCACATCCACACTTCAGTGGCCACCAAACCATTCAGCAGAGCTTCCTTAACTGTGAGCTGTTTGAAGCGACCAGTCTTAGCACTATGGACTACTTTTTTCAGGCTCTGAATAGCTGCAGGAATCTCAGCAGGGGTTGGAAGAACCAGCTCCACCCTGGCATAGTGCCAAAATGTGCCCAATCGAGGCTTCGAATAAGTCACAGCAGCGTTTACCATCCCGGGGCCTTCGCCACCAAGTTACGGAGGAACTGGGCCATGGTTGAAATGTTTAATTTGTTATAGCTATATTAATCACGGGTAAATTTCCCTTTTCTAAATGTCAATGATTATTGCATTTGTTCTTTTAAAGATATAAGTTTAAATGAGATGTTGCTCAAACAATAAGCTTGACTTATGAAAAGCTGTAACGGATGTAAATGAACTTACCCTCTAGGAGGAACTATGTTGCTTTATGTTTAATTATACACCTTGATATTCAATCTATTATGCTTTCCAACTTAGCTTACATAGCATATAATATGCTATGAACATAGTAAGCAAGTATTACTTAAAATGATGGCACTGATTTATAATTTTATTAGAGTATTTCACCTGCCAAAAAGCTCACATTTTTTAGTGTAGTCACAGGGCTGTACAACCATCAACATTACCTAACTCAAAATATTTTCATCATCCCCCACAAAGAAGCACCACATCCATTAACAGGAATTCCCCATGCCTTGGCTCCCTGCCCCTGATAACCACGCATCTATTTTCTGTCTCTAAGCAATGGCCTACTCTGGACACTTCATGTTAATGGAATCATTAACAAGTGGGCTCCTGTGTCGGCTCTTTTTCCTTGACCACCGTGTTTCCAAGAATGTATCAATGCTGTGGCAAGTATTATTATTGCCTTCTTCTTATGGATGGTAATATTCCACTGTATGGCTATACCACATTTGTGTAATTAATCAGGTGGGTTATTTTCAGTTTTTGTCTAATCTGAATAATGTTATAAACAAGATTTTGTGTGAACCTTTGTTTTCAATTTTCTTAGGTATGCACTTAGGAATAGAATTCTTTTTTCCCTCAACAGTTTTATTAGCATAAAATTCACACATCATACAATTTAATATCAATCACATCAAGAAGAGTTGTGCAATCATTAAATTAGGTTGAGGACATTGTCATTCTTGTACTCATCATTATTAACTCCCCATTTCCCTCTGCCATACCCCCAAAGAACCATTAATTCAGTTACTGTCTCTGTAGATTTACCTATCCTAGATTTCATATATAGAAAAAGACACTTGAATTCGACCTTGTAAGTCTGGCTAGACCAGAGTATGTCCACTGGTACAGATAGGAACTGAAAATACAGGGAATCCAAGGCGGATGAGCCCTACAGGACCAGTGGTGTGAGTGGCGAAACAGGGAGGGTAGAGGGAGAGTGGGTAGGAAAGAGGGAACCGATTACAAGGAACTATATATGACCTCCTCCCTGGGGGACGGAAAACAGAAAAGTGGGTGAAGGGAGACGTCGGACAGGGCAAGATATGACAAAATAACAATTTATAAGCTATCAAGGGCTCATGAAGGAGGGGGGAGCGGGGAGGGAGGAGAAAAATGAGGACCTAATGCCAGGGGTTTAAGTGGAGAGAAAATGTTTTGAGAATGATGAGGGCAATGAATGCACAAATGCGCTTTACACAATTGATGTGTGTATGGATTGTGATAAGAGTTGTATGAGTCCCTAATAAAATGATTTAAAAAAATGTTTATTTTAAATTTATTTTTCTATATGTTCTATGTTGTTCATAATACTCATATTAAACAAATACAATGTTAGTAGTAATGGCACAAAAAAAAAGATACTAAAACAAACAAACTCACAGTAACAAAAACATAAAATCCCAATTGGAAAGAAAGCAGAAAAATACTAAACACTAGAACAAATTAATGAGATCAAAAGAGTTCTCAAAAAGTTGATGATGACAATGCTTGCTAATGTTTTGCTATATTAATGGAGGGGTGAATTTTTAAGTCCATATTCTGCCATTGTGAAAATGTCATGGCATCGATTTTGAAGAAAATTTCTAATATATTTCTAAGACCATTTATTTGTGTGGGGACTTAATTCTATCACATTTTGTTTTGTCTGGTCTCATTCAAATAACTCTGAGAGTATCTAAAATTATAATTTATTAAAAAATACTTTATTGCTTTCACTTTGGGGGTGTTTATAATTCATGTTGCTGGTTCTTACTTACTGCTATTATTTAACTGGATGGATGAAGTATTTCCTGCAGTTAGTGCGAAATAAGTAGAAGTAGTAGAAAATAGGGAACCATGTCTTTGCGACTATGTAAGTGTTGTGCAACACTCCTATCAAGAGATAAAATGTGTTCCACAGTCATCAGTGACATATTTAAGGTGACATACTTGTCAAAAGTGCGGTTAATTTAGAAAAGGACATGGAATGTCACCATCTGAAATTACATGCCTGAAATACAAAGTTTTCCCTTGCCATAAATGAACCTGGCACCATTTCCTATCCCTGTTAATTTCCTGTATCTCACAACAACCCATTGGCTTAAGATCACCATCAGTGAAGAAGAGCCTCGGCATTCCTATGTGAATGAAGGCTGTGTGTAAAAGTGGTAGGTCCTAAGTGGAGATGTCAGCCAGGGCCAGCGGCCTGGGGAAGGAGCTGTAGCAATACCACAGGGGTCCCAAGATGGACAAGGAGAGTATCTAGAAGTCCTGGTGGGGTATGGTTAAAAGAGGTGGGTCCTAGACAAAACAGGAGATGATGCAGGTACATAAAGAATGGGGCACCGAGGTAAAATCCAAGCACTATCATAGACTGAATAAAGCAGGAATGCAGAACCAACAGAGAAATACACATAAGGCTGGATTTTGTGCCTGCGCCTGAAAGTAAGGCAGCCTAAGCATGAGATTAGAGTGAGGACACTGCCCTTGATGTTCTCTTTCATGAGCTGCTGCTTTCGACAGCTCAGAACATGTGCAGTCTTCAATACAAGCAGTCAGTCCTGTGGAAAATAAACCTTGAGCAGACGTAGTTTCAGAGTGCAATAACCTACTTTGTCTCCCACTGCTTTGATGCATCTGTGTTCCCTCAGGGACATTTGATCGTAGTTAAAATTATAAGACGACAAAACAGCTGATGTTGTAGTTGAAGGTTAGAACTTCCTTCACAGGATAACTAAAAACGAATCTGTGGACAACCTAAAACACCAGAACTTACTGCCAGAGACCTGTGATTATCCTGTAGGGCAGAGGAGAACTGCTCCTTGGGGTTTCTAAGAAAGATTTGCAAATCTCTATGGGTGTAGATAGCCTCATCTTTTTCTTACAGAGTGACTAGTGGGTTCGAACTGCTGACCAAGCAATTGGCAGCCCAATGCATAACTCGCTACACCACAGGGGTTCCTTCTGAATAAGCTAATGTATCCGGTTAAAAACTTAATTTACAGAGAATGACTGGCTGAGGGGTTCTTCTGCCTCCAGCTCTCTTTGAAAACCACCTGAGCAATCAGCTGATACCACTGGCCAGGCTGGGTCCTACATTTGCATGATGAAAGGTTCCTAGAATTGTGTAAGGGAGAACCTCTCAAACTGGGGTCCTCTCAAATTCAGTTTCATTTTAGGCTTACACTGATTGAACTGTTGGAAAACAAAAATAAAATTAACTGTACACAATATAATCTAGGACAACGTATACTAAAGTGCAATCAAATTGTTCTCAGGTTCTTTGAAAAGAGCCAATTTATTTTAAATTTCCACCCCACCCAAAGTTTTCAATCACATATTTAATCCCAGTTTTCCTAAATGTTTCAATTGATAAAGTGCTCTTAACAAGAGACAGGCGAAGACAAAAACTTGTGAAGAAAAGTTCTGCATATTTCCCGAAACAATTCAACCGTATATACTCGAATATAAGGCGACCCGAATATCAGCCGAGGCACCTAATTTTACCACAAAAACTGCATTAAAAAGGTGCTGAAAAAACTTGGCTTAAACTCGAGTATATATGGTATGTATCTTTCTATTAATTTTTTTCATTTCCACAACTATTCAAATGTTCTTTATATAAAGATATAATAACTATTCAAGATAAAGCTTTGTACACTCTGCTTTAAAAGAATGGGAATAAAAAAATTATATTTCTATAAGGCAAGTCAACATAAAGAATAATTTTCTGAGACTTCCAAACTGATATTTTTGGTAACAATTGTCCTAGAAAGCCAGTGATGGCTTTTTTCTAGAGTTATGGCACACACTTGGTGCCAGTGTAGCTCTATGTCAGACTTCCCGTTTCCTGACTGTGAGTTAATTTTATTGATCAACTTGGCTAGGTCACGTTGCCAGTTGTTTGGTCAAGCACTCATCTAGATGTGGGGAGCCCTGGAGGTGTAGGGGGTTACACATTGAACTTCATACTACAAGGCTGACTGTTCAAAACCAACCAGCCGCTATGCGGGAGAAAGGTAAGAGAAAGAGGAGGCTTTCTATTCCCATAAAGAATTACAGTCTTAGAAACTTATGGGGCAGTTTTACCCTGTCCTTCTATGGCTGCTGTGAGGTGAAATGGACTTGATGGCAAGGAATTTCTGGTTTGAGAGTCTAGAAGTAAGTGTGTGTGTGTGTGTGTATAAATATTTACATGTGGTTAACATTTCAATAAATTGGCCTACGGTAAAGCAGATTAACCTTCATAATGTGGTTGAGTCTCAACCAATCAGTTGAAGGCCTAAGAACAAAGGGAGAATTCTGCTTCCAACTTATAAACAGATTAAAACCAAAAAACCAACCCACTGCCATTAACTACATTTCAACTCATAGTGACTGTATAGGGCAGGGTAAAACTTTCCCTATGAGTTTCTTGACTATAACTCTTTACTGGAGTAGAAAGCCTCATCTTTCTCCTGTGGAGAGGCTGATGGTTTCAAACCGCGAACCTTGCTGTTAGCAGCCCAACTCATAGCCACTATGCTACCAAAGCTCCTGGCTACAAATATACATCCTACTAGAATTCCTCTTTCTCCCTTCAGTGTCAGTTCCCACAATCAAGTCAGTATACATATATATCTTGACATAGGTAAGGAGTGCACACACATACATGCATATATACATGTTTGTGTATAGGCATATATTATTAGTTACAGCATGGTTAGGTTACAAAGACCATAAAGCTAAAATTAAAACTGACATTATTTGAAAATGACAGTTGATTGTAACAGATATAAAATGGAGGGTTGATTACATTGTTCTCTCTCCCCTATGCAACACGTGTTCACAAAATAACACTGACAAAGAGCAGGACTCCCCACCTATAATGTGGTTTAATTATTTTCTTTACTTTGGTTTTTGTACTTTTGATCTATTACAACTCTCTCATTATATTTTTGGAGTTGTCTCTCACTTCCTCTTCCAGTGCAGTACCACCATCCTGAGCATACCCATGCCGCAGGCCAAAACAAGTAGTCCTTTAGATCTCAGCACACCCACTCAAACGAGCTCCCCCACCCAGTGTGCTGTGCCTACCCCCTCCATGTTACCATGGTAACAGAAATTAGCGGTCACCCGAGATTTTTGTCTCTTCTGCTTCTTGCTTCTTTGCACACCCACCTATTTGCAACTCTTTTTCCTTGTGAAATATTTCAGTGGAACTTACTAATTCTGATTACCCTTCTTAAAATGCATTTCCCCGTTATTTTTACAAATTTGCAGCCTATGCAGACAGCCACTTGTTACTACTATTACTTTTATTTGATCTGCCTCCCGCATCTTCATCTTTGTCCACCTCTCTCCTTTTCTCCACCATATATTTTTTCCAGCTCATATTAGACCTCTACTACCTTAATTAACAGAAACAGCAGTCAGTCATAGTAAATAAAAAACAAACAAACACAAACAACTGAAAATCACCCAAGTCCAATATAGTACTCTAAAGAATTGGCCATGAAACAATCAGATACCAAATTCAGAAGAATGATATTGAAGTCCTTTCAAGAGCTGTGGGGGACACTCATGAGGAACAACTGAAGAAATTGAAAAACTAAAATTCGGATGGTGTTAAGATATGATATAATAATAATAATTTATAAATTATTAAGGGTTCAGGGGGAGGGGGAAGCAGGGAGGGAGGG